TTCATCAACACAATGCTCCATTTTTGAGTCACATTCAAGAATATCTGCTAGCTTTCTGAGGCTATGGCCGAGTTTGAGGGCCAAGGATGGAGTCTTGTATTGATTTGTTTCCTCATCATATCCAGCCACAGACCTGACTGCATCAATCACATGGTTAAAGTTGGAAGGAATAAAGAAATCCTTAATTGTTTTCAGTTTCCCTGCGGTTTTTGCTTCGTTAATTAACCTACCGACTTCTCTCATTTTCTGCCTAATGTAATCATGCTTTGTCTTATCATGCCCGTGTTTTAAGTACAGGTGCTCTCCGAGTCTCAGAATCCCCTTTTCTGCTTTGACAACACCCGTGACCTCATCCTGATGCATTGCCGAAATTAAAGACCACAGCTTTTTGCTGATGCCCTCCGGTACAGGCTGGGCTAGGGAGCAGAGGGACTGGACCCTACTTCTACCTGGTTTAGCCTGGGCATCTTTCTGTGAAAGCCGGCACCTGGCCACATGCCTCCACAGCGACTTTCGCTTAAGCAATGCCCCACAGTCTATACAGTGCAAAAACTCACTGGATTTAACTGGGGAATTTGGCTGTTTAGCTGGGACTAAAGTTCCAATGCCGGCCTTTAAAACCTCAAAATTGTGCTCACGGTTTCCACTATTCCTGATCAAATCAAACTGAAGTTTACGTGCTTTAGATTTCACAGGTAGAGCCAATGCTCTGGCTACGTCACTTTCATTTCCATGTTTTCTAGTCAAATGACGGGACATTTTGTGGCAGGACATTGAACAGTAGAGGCAGAAGTGTCTCTTGCTGTATACTCGCCCCCCATTTTTCTTCTTTTGCAGCTGCATGATAACAATCTTATTTGCCTTTGGTTCGTCACTTTCCGAGTCTTGAAGAAAAGTGTTTTTGATTTTTCTTTTTCCATACTTTTTTACAGGTTTCTTCTTGACAGTTAAATCGTCAGAATCTGAGTCGACTTCATCAATTAGGGACTCTTGACTAAGCTGCACAAACAACAAATAATTTGTAATCATTCTATATAACAATTTGAAGTCATGACTTGTAGTCAGCACTTACCAGTGGTTTGTAAGCGTGCGCTTCAGTGTGCTCCTCCATGATTTCTTGCAGCCTAATGAACCACACACTTGCACCTTTTTCTAGCCTGACACCTGATTTCCTCTGTTGTGCTGCTCCATGATTGGCTCCAGCCTGCTGGACTGAAATTGCCCCAGTGTGCCCCTCCTTGATATCCCGCAACCCACCACCAGGGTTCCGACACATAACACACTTTTTTCAGGAAAGTAAACCTCCAGGGGTCCTTTCCATATTTTTACAGAGACTGCATAAGGACCGTTAGAAAAGCATTACCCATTGATTATTAAGCTTGGACCAGTGGGGTCCGGTGTTCGGGCCCCACCACGTAAAACCAGTCCCCATGACGTGAGTGGAATCTCAGGTTATGGAACCCACCAGGAGTTGAAAACAAGTGCACACACACACACACACACACACACACACACACACACACACACACATACACGTTTTTGTTACCTGGTGGGTCCCTTTGACAGGGCCGTTCAGAATGGGACCCATAGACATAATCATTTTTTACCAAGACTTTAAGTAATACAAAACAGTCAATAGAAACCAAACAACTATTTTAAAGGAATTTTATTTTAGATTTTGTTTTCGAATTGCAGTGATTCTATTTTTGACATAGAATTTAATGCCACTCCATGTCCGATGTCTAAGGTCATCTGGTGAGGCATTAATGCAGGCCAGGCAGTGAGACTTCCCAGGGACCTTTCCAGTCTGTATGAAAGGTGTCATGGTCTTCTCCACAGCCTTCACCTCAGATGCAGACCATGGCTTTCTTACACGTTCTAGGGAGAGAAATAAAAATATATTAGCAATATACACTCCCAGGGTGAGGACCAAGCAGCCTGGCTGTAATCCCCCACCTGGTACACTTACCAGAAGGGGCACTGCCACTACCATGGGGTGCATCTGGATGAATGGTTGAAGGTTCTCCGCTTGAAGTTTGTTTTAGCCCGTCCGTTTGTGAGAGGATCTCTACTGCTCTCCCTGTCGCACAGAAAATAAAAATACAAGTGGCCTTTAGGGGAAAAAAATCATACATATTTTAATATTATCAAGAATTACCTTCAGGCTCAATTTGTATCTGGTCGAGGCTCTTTCCTTCGAATTCCGTCACTCTTCCCTGCTCCATGGCCATCAACACTTTGCTGATTTTGGCCAGCTCCAGTGTCCCCTCTGGTAGTCTGTAATATTGCCTGTGGATGCGAATGTCATGGCCGAGGAAGTTGGCAAGTATGTCCATCTCATTCTCTTTCATATTGAGAACTGTAGACATAGTAGCTATGTGCTTTCTAAGTTTGGTTGAGGATAGCATCTCTGGATGCACCGCACCACATTCTTTGGCTACCTGGCGTAGGGAGTCTGATCCCCTGATGTGGGTGTCTGCGCCCGGGCGGGAAAAGAAGT